GGAACGAATGAAATTTTGGGGGGAACGAATGGAACGAATGAAATCTTGAGGGTGGAAACGAATAAAATTTTGGCGACGCAGATGAATAAAAAAGTGTCGTAAAAAATAGACCTTTTAGCGACACAAAACATGGACGTTGTGAAAAAGAGACTATTAGCGGTGCTAACCTAACACGTCGTGATAAATGCATACTCACTAGTAAAAAATCGTGTATCCTAGACAGAATATTCTAGACGGAAAATTTTTCGTCTAGTTTGTATTAAACTAGATGGAAAATTTCCGTCTAGAATATTCCGTCTAGGATAAAACATTCTAGACGGAAAATTCCGTCTAGGATAGTATCCTAGACGGTTCTTGTATTTTTAAAATTTTTTAAAATATTATCAGGTATCCTAGACGAAAATTTCCGTCTAGAATACATCCTAGACGGAAATTTCCGTCTAGGATGTTTTGGCTCATATTAAAAAAAATACCAAATTCCCCCCTCCCTCCGCCCCCCAAATCGAAATCCTCCCCACCAAAATTTCCGCCCAAAATCAAAACCCTCCACTTCATCGGAACCATCCTCGGCCTCCTCTTCCTCCTCCTCTCCCTCTTCTTCAACCTCTGGCTCCTCCCTCTCATCCCCTTCACAGGCTACAGCCTCGCCTGGTACACCACTTCTTTGTCGAGCGCAAAGCTCCGGCGATGGAGACGACGACCCCTACAACCCCACCAAATCATCACCGCCTTCTTCCTGGAGCCCACCCCCTCCTTCGCCGGCCACCTCGCTGAGCTCGAGCGGGCGCTGCTCGATTCCTCGCCGTCGACGGGCTCGAGCTTCTCGGCTCTTGATCTGGCGGGACCCTTGGTGTCGGTGGACCACTTGAGGGCTTACTTGCAGATCATCGATGTGGCCTCGATTTTAGGGCTGGATCAGGATATCCCCGATCCCGCATTTCAGATGTTCAAGGATGGTCGTCGGTGACTTGCTTGAGGAACCGGAGCGTGGAGGCGATGGCCACGGCGGCGCTCGTGCAGGCGATACGGGAGGCGCAGGAGCCCAGGACGCTGTAGGTGAGTCGGTCGGCTGACTCAGGGTTCAGGGGTCTGAAGGGTTTCTTGATTATACAGGGATTTGATTTACAAGTTTTATCGTCAATACACAAATTGCAAGCCAATTCCACTAAAAAACCTTTTAATACACTACTATTTTGTTCTTAGCACAATGTTTGAGATCTCTACTTAGCACATTGTATAACAAGTATTGTGAGAGGATGCTTTTATTTGATAAGATGAGTGCTCAGCAGTTGAAAGAAACATGTACGTATAATCTTTCTTCGGAATTGCTTTGGCATTGTTCTTCGAGATTCAACTTATTTTCTTTATAATCTATGGTAGCGTGTAAATTTTGGACTATTAATTTTGAATGTCAACAATAGTTGGATATTGATGCTTGAGTGACCATGCTGTAACTTCATCCCAATTGGTTGTGACCATGGCTACATCACAAAGGTCTATTTTGAAATCATTGAACCGGCTCGTTTCATGAATCTAAACATGCAATGCTTCAGTTTGATGTAGTTTGAAAGTCTCAACCCAATGGGGTCCTTGAATTGCTTAACCTGTAGGCTTGTCATCATGCTGATTGGTAATTTTCCGTCTCAATTAGACTTTCTGTAATACCCTAACCCTTGAGAGAGTGATGTGATTAGTATTGATAGATTTGATTAGAATACTCATACCACCAAGATGCATCTTCTTTTCCAAGATGCATCTTCTTTTCGGGAACCCAACTCTTAGAAACTCCAAAGTTAAGCGTGCTTGGCCTGGAGAAATTCTAGGATGGGTGACCCTCTGGGAAGTTTTTCAGGGATCGTGTGATCATATACATTTACGACTGTACATTAAATGAGCTACATAGATACAGAACATGTAAATCACCAGTAGAATATTAAACCGTTTATGGAATTGTGACCAAATCACGGAATAACTGTATATATTTTGAAATTCCTTGCATATTGAGTTCAAAGGGATTTGTTGACAGGATTACGACAAGAAGAACCTAGAAGAATTTAGACTGAAAGGGAAAACTTGTCAATTATTCTACCTAATGAAAGATGTCTCACCACAATATTTACAACCACTCAATCATCATCATGCAGCAGCTTGCTGATTTGCATCAATGAAACTCTAAACATGCTCTAAATGTAAAAGTAAATTATGGGGGAACGCAACAATCTATTGGGTTCGAATGCAAAAAGGTGCTCAAACCATTTAAACATGCAAGTGACTCACTTTGGTGTAAAAGTAGCAACGAAAATAAGATGACAGGTTGTGAACAGTGTTGTATACCACGGAATTTGAGACTATACATGTGTCTGTTATGTGTATACATGCTTTTGGCACAAAAAAAATGGATGCATGCTGCCACTTATGCCTCGGAGATAAATATACAGCAGCAAAGGATGAAAATAGTGCGACGGATGAAAATGGATGGACCAGCTTAAATTTTTAGAACTCAAATTCAAGCCAGTCAGTTCTGGAAGAACACATCAACAGAAAATGCCCTGGAATGTTCTGGAAATATTAAGTTCCACATGCTTGTTATTTTCCTTTATCATATAATTTTTATTATTATAAACATTTCACATATATTATAATTTTTATTTTGCAGTCCGTGAAGAATTCTTGTAGTAAGTTAGTAACAGGTTAGGTTTGATTATGTCATATGCAAATATACATAAGTGGCCTAACTTTAAAATATTAGGTTTGATTATTGTCATATGCAAATATAAATTAAGAGGCCTCGTACTAAATGGTTAGGTTTGATTATTGTCATATGCAATTATACGTTTTCTCATCTTTTAATATACTTAAGAGGGACAAAAAATCATTGCATCTATCTGTCTGGAATAATATTTCATCGGACATAAATGTTAGAACAATGACCATTCTGTCAAGTTTAAAATTTTGCTGATATCCATCTCAAGCCATACCAAAGACCACTAGTACTTCAGTTCTATTGCGAGCGTTCAATATTTTTACCTGTATACTTAAGCAACAATATTTTAACACATTACCATTTCCATCTAGTAAACATTTGAATACTCTCTTACTAGTTACAATTATCAATGAGTTTTTCCGTGGATGGATGGTCTTACAATTCATATTAAAAGTTAAAACTTCTGAAATTTAGCATGTCTAACTTTAAATTTGGCATGTCCAACTCTTCCCTGCACATTGATGCTTCCATTCTTGTGCCTAGCTAATATATAGATTTGAATAAGAGTTTATGCTATGGATACAATATATCGCAATAACAATGAAGGGTTGATGCTATGGATACAATTTATATCAATGAAGGGTTGATCCTGTGGATATAAAGCTAAAATCAGGCACCAAAGGTTCAAAGTTAAGCCTAGAAGAAATTTTAATACTTTGGGATGAAAATGAAGTACCATTGGAGTTCTTTGTGAATCCGAAAGGCCAAGGGTTACTCTTATTTGGTCGATCCTAGCACGCTTCTCTTTTCGACGCAGATTCTTCTTCTCACCTTTTAAAATTGAAACAACACTTTCTGCGTCTAGAGTCTTTTCAACTTCATCCTCAGACTGTGAAAAAGAATAAGAACATTACTAGATATGACTGTAATAAGAATGTGTTTTGGCAAAAGCAAACTGCTATTATCAGTTATAAGAATGTGTGCGCTAGTAAAATTAATAAGAAATTGGAAATTTCATTCTTTAAGTGTAATTTCTTTTTGGTTCATACTTCTTGGAAAGATGGTGACTTGATGGCAAGACATAAATCGTAACACAAGCAGGCCACTCCAGAGATATAACCTCCAGACACTTGATATAGAAGAAGCATTAAAATTGAGCCATGTAAATGAAGTTGTCTTTGTAGATGAAAATTGATAAATGATGTTTTATAGCAAGAGGAAATAGAGGTACATTAACTTTCATGAAAGAGGATGACAATTTACTTACAGACAACCAGCACATATAAGAATGTAGCAACGGCAAAGCACAAGATCTACTGGAACCTGCAAGAAAAAAGAACAATGCAAAAGAAGTGAAGCAGCAACCAAAGCAGAAGTTTAACAACAAAAATAAAAGAAAAACTCAATATCAAGCAGCAATATACAATTAGAATAGTTGCAATAAGGATTTTCCGCTAGATATTTTCAGTAAGTGATTGCGAAAAATCATTACAATAATAAGAAAATCAACCATTCCAGTGAAGCAAGAATACCAAGAGTACAAATTAAGCATACTGGAGTTAATTAAAACTTAGCCCCCTGAGGTATCTGTACCATGAATTTAAAGTAAATGAAACATTGTACCCAAGCAACTAGTAACAAGCCAACATGAAGGTTAGAGATATCATTACCAATGGATTGATCTTATTAGAATCACTTCCTAGCTTGTTCATAGCATCTTGCATACAGGCCAGATCGACAACAGATGGCACACCAGTAAAATCCTGCCAACAACAGAAAAAATGTCAATAAGCAGAGTGCGAAGAAAATGAGGGTATCATCTGTATTCTGTGTGACAAACCTGCAGAAGAACACATGCAGGCTTAAATGGAATCTCAACTTGCTTTGGGGAGGTATTCTCCCAGTCAATAATCTTCTCGACATCATTCTTTGTGACCTGGAAGTTATCAAAGTTCCGGATGGCTGACTCAAGAAGAATCCTAATAGAATACGGTAGCTTGTCTGCACCCCCCCAAAAAAAAAGGTAAAAACTTCTTTCAGATAACCATGTGGCACTGACGCTAGAAATAGGTTTTTTTTAAAAAAAATTGTTGTAAACAACCATATTAGACATAGGAAAGTTTCCAAACTCTAACGCACTTCTTATTTTCTCTCAAAAAGAAGCTCAAAAGAAGCACAAAAGCATAGAATAGAAGATATTTGTCACTTGATGTAGATGACATAAAGAGAAACCCAGAAAAAATTAGGGTGTGCTCGTGCATGTGTCCGACACATGCACATGTATGAAATGAAGGTGTCAAATACATAAGCCGAAACGCAGCAGTATCGAGAAACTTCAACAGTCCTATGTCCAGGGTTTGCAGAGAAGCGATCATCCAATTGACACCCGGTAACAGTGTCTGCGCGTGCGCGCCGCAAGCAGTTCCATACGCCCCCGTCTCTGATTGGTCAGCCCCACACTGCATGAATGGAGGCTAGCACAACTGCAAGCATACCTCTACTAATTATCATACATCTTTTCGACGGAATTTTCGCGGGGGGAAATTTTTAACGAGGGGGGGAATTTTTCGCGAGCGGAAATTTTGGAACAACATCACTGACGGGATACCCGTCAGCGATGTTCATATCCCGTCAGTGATGTTTACATTGCTGACGGGATCGATAAACTTGTGACGGCAACATCTCTGACGGTTAATCCCGTCAGCGATATAAACATCGCTGACGGCATTATCCCGTCAGTGATGTTGCCGTCAACAATACCTATTTTATCGTCAATACACAAATTGCAAGCCAATTCCACTGAAAAACCTTTTAATACACTACTATTTTGTTCTTAGCACAATGTTTGAGATCTCTACTTAGCACATTGTATAACAAGTATTGTGAGAGGATGCTTTTATTTGATAAGATGAGTGCTCAGCAGTTGAAAGAAACATGTATAATCTTTCTTCGGAATTGCTTTAGCATTGTTCTTCGAGATTCGACTTATTTTCTTTATAATCTATGGTAGCGTGTAAAATTTGGACTATTAATTTTGAATGTCAACAATAGTTGGATATTGATGCTTGAGTGACCATGCTGTAACTTCATCCCAATTGGTTGTGGCCATGGCTACATCACAAAGGTCTATTTTGAAATCATTGAACCGGAGCTCGTTTCATGAATCTAAACATGCAATGCTTCAGTTTTATGTAGTTTGAAAGTCTCAACCCAATGGGGTCCTTGAATTGCTTAACCTGTAGGCTTGTCATCATGCTGATTGGTAATTTTCCGTCTCAATTAGCCTTTCATCATTCTTGTTAACATGCACGTTGAGTATGTGAAGTGGAGATTTACCCTAACCAATTCACCTGCTATATATAATTTACATACAAGCACCTGGAAATGCTTGAATCTTAATATCTTGTAAAAGCCCGTGCATCATTTTTTAATGCATTTATCAGGAAATGTTTGTATAATAATATCTAATTTTAATTTATTAGCTTTCAACCAGTTAAATTTCAGCTTATTCTTAAACAATTGTTAGTATAATAATATCGCCTAATTTGATTACATTGTGCACCATTGTTAAATCTAACTGATGCAATCGTCCTAAGTATCTCAAGTTCCCAACTTCTGCTTGGTATTACCAGAGTTTATTTCAACTCATGTAATTAAATCTAATCAATTAGGTGGTCAGAAGTTGGACTTGATTTCACTGCGCCAGTAATTATAATATAATCAATGTGAGGGTCCTAAGCTATACAAACTACATAGCATTTATTTTAATTGCACTGAGCCAAACCTGAAACCGCTCATTTTACTAACCTGATGCAATTCAATAAATACTTCTACGTGCGCTTTAAAGGTATTAATGTCTTCAAGGCATAAGCGTCCTAAAAGGTAAAGATCTGTTCTTTGTTTCTTTATTTCTTTATTTATTCTCTTTTGGATATCTTTGTAAGAGAAATGTGTTGTTGTGCAGTGATTCTGTGAAGAAAATGATGGAGGAGATCTTTGTAAGAGAAATGTGTTGTTCTGCTGGTGAGGTATGATATAATCTTGGTTAATGTTCTGTTGAGATTCGAGACGCTTAAAAGTGTTGATTTGGGTAAAACTATTATGACTTTTTATTCCTATAGGTGAGGTAAATTTTTCAGAAGTTTGAATGCAGAGATCGGGTTGATGGAGGAATTGTGCGTAATGTTGTGCGATGGAGCATGCAGAACCTCTTGTAAATAATTTATGTAAAAGTTTGTAAACAATTTATGTATCTCTCTACTATTCTGGTAGATGTATTATTTGAATATAATTGGATTTGATATTAGAATATAATTAGATTGTGTTGGATATGAATATAATTTGTTGTTGTTCAATATTGTGTACATACACTCAAAATAGATTCTGTAAAAAAAAAATTAAAAAAACTACTGTAGCATAGCATCCTAGACGGAAATTCCGTCTAGGATGTTTGTTTTTTTTTAAAAAAAAATTTTAAAAATTAAAAAACATCCTAGACGGAAATTCCCTCTAGGATAAGTATCCTAGACGGAAATTTCCGTCTAGAATACCCATCCTAGACGGAAATTTTTTCCGTCTAGGATACAGTATTCTAGACGGAAATTCCGTCTAGAATAATCCGTCTAGGATGTACTCTAGACGGTTTTAAATTCCGTCTAGGATATTCTATCTAGGATGTATTCTAGACGGAATTTCCGTCTAGAATACTACATCCTAGACGGAAACATACTAGACGCGTATTCTAGACGGAATTCCGTCTAGGATAAACATCCTAGACGGAATTTTGGGTATCCTAGACGGAATTTTCCGTCTAGGATGCCTCATTATTTAGTAGTGACTATTAGCGATGCCGACCCTAAAACGTCGCTAAAATATATATTTTTATCGACAAAAATAAAAAACATCGTCAAATCCATACACTTTTAACAACGCTAAGTTAAAACATCGCAAATAATATACACTTTTAGTGATGCTAATTATAAATAAGGGGGAAAATATATGTTTTACCGACGCTAACTAAAATCGTCGGGAAAAACATTGGCGACGTATTTAACCATGCGTCGGGAATAAGCGTTGGGAAAAGTACAATTTATTATAGTGTTGTCTCTTTAATTTGTTTGGTAGATTTTGTAAATATCCTATTCACATTATGTACATTTGTAGGTCTGCGCTATTCCTAGGTTCGATATTTGGGGAAGACATTATTTGTCTCATTAATTTATTTGATTTTTGCATATATGCCCTTTATTTTGTAGACATTTATAAATTTAGCATTTAATAATTTTATTTAGATTTACATTTCAATTTAAACAATATTCTTATCTTCATGCTATGTATATCCAATAAGAATTTATTAATTTATCAACTTACTCTTACTTAATGGATTAATATTTGAATTTCAAGGGTATTTTTGTCTACTGAAAGATTTTTCCGAACTCGTGCTTTTAAAGAGAGTATGATATATTGTTGTATATTTAATATACTTAAGTTAAATATTTAATATATTTTTAGGATAATAATATAGGATATTTGCAGTTGAATAAGAATATAATTAGGTTAGTACGAAAATTAGGATATTTAGTTTACATGAGATTATGATATAATTAGGATATTTGTAGTTGTAGTTCACATAAGATTAGGATAATTAGGATAGATTTGAATTGAAATGTAATATCTAAAAGAGTTAAGGGAATTTTTTTCTGCCGAAAGATTTTTCCCGAACTCGTGCTTTTAAAGGGAGTAAGTATGATCATTTACTTTCCCTGTTTTTAGTTTGTTTTGTAGGTGACGTGGGCTGGATGAGGCTCCATATGGGCCTTGTAATGGACAGGTCAGACTATATCCAGAGTGGGTTTGGATGAGACTGCTACGTACGTGAGGGTGCTCGTCTTTCTTGGTTCCTTGGTTCCTCTAGGATGTTAAATAAGCAAGCCCGGCCACTTTGCTAACAACCGTAAGGATTATGGAGGACATGAATAAGGCTACCGAAATTTTCTTCTGGATAAGCAACACTTGATGTTGGATAATGGTTCTTTTCCAGTGAAGGGAGAGAAGTGGAGTGAGGCAGTGACGCAATGTAAGTTATAGCAGAAGATGGTGGAAGATATCTGAGCGAAGTCTGTAACCAAGCGCACATCGATTTTCCCCGTGGCTATGTTCACCAACCTAGCGCCTCTGTTGTGCGCAGCGGAAATTTCGGCAGAGTTTCTGGTGCACAATAAGAGAGAAAGATCAATAATAAGAATTCCCGTCTCACCAAGGAGACAAGAATCTGAAGCGGATATCTCAACCAAGTGAGATATCGGCTCTTCCTCTCATCAGTTCTAGGACTGATCTGTCGAGGGATCCTAATAACTATTACAATGGCCACAAACGCAAACAACCAATTTTACGTGGTTCGGCAAACTGCCTACGTCCACGGGGCAAGGAGGGAGGATCTACTATTATAGAAAAAAAAAATACAATGGGTTTATAACTCTCACAATCTAAACCCTCAAATAGGCTCCTTGCTTTTCTTCACAAGAAAAGGTCAGCCTTCAAATACTTTTTCTCTCTTCACAAAACCCGAGACAGATACCTCCCTCTCTCTCTCTCTCAGTCGGTTTTCTTCCCTCTCCCAACACTGTGCCTTTCACCAAAAGCCGCCCTTGCTTGCTGTACTTCTCCTTGTACTGCTGCAGCCGCACTTTTGTAAAGCCTCAATTGCTCCTGCCTTGCTCACCTTTGCACGAAACACTAGACAAGGGTTTTATAGGCAAGGAAACCCTAGACAAGGGTTTTATAGGCAAGCTGCAGATGAAACTCGGGTGGGCCGCACTCTCTTCACGCGGCTCTCAGCCTCACACGCGGTTTTGTAAACCGCTGCTGATGTGGCCTTCACGAGACCGCCTACAAAACCCGTCTTTAGCAATGTTGGCGAGGTACTCATGCACGTGAACTCCCTGCACATGGTGGCCCCCACGTTCCATGAAGTTGCGTTCACACAATTCTCCACCTCGGCG